TGTGGATAAAGCCCCAACAGTTACTGGTATTGTCAAAGCTTATCAACCTGCTTCTCACATATTCCTACTGGCCAGTGAGGCAAGGTATCATAATAATAAGTCAATAGGGGAATGTGTAGTAGATGGAGAGGAGTGGACACACTTCTACACTACAAACAAGTCCCAGAGGTTTCCCTAATCAGAATCATGGGATCTTGACTTAGTAGTAGGGACTGCAGGCTACTGCACATGTTTCCTGCTGCTGTCATTCTATAGTATACCCAAGCAAATTTCTTTTTTTAAATCCAGTGTGTTGGGCATTAACTTACAGCCTGTAAAATTGGCATTAAACCTAAAGCCCCTTGATGAGAATTATTTGCACTGATTTTAAAGAGAGTGTCTAATGTTTTACTACTTGTACATTAAATGCTAAAACAGTAAGCCATTGTTGTACAATTGCTGGTGGAATGCAAAACTTCAGAGCACTGCCTTCCATCACGGGCTCCTCATGGCAATGCCGTACTGCATCAGATGACAATGGCCTAACAAGAAAAGCAAATTCATACTCTCCTTGATACCAAGTACAATATCCTTGGCCAGGTGGGGTCTATTATGCTTTTTAATTACCATTAGAACTGTGATTTCCAGACATTGGAGATCCGTGACCACCCCTATGATTGCAGAATGGTTTACTGAACTCTCACACATACTGCGTTTGGAAGAACTGATGGCCCAATATCACAACAAATACTCCTCCTGTCTAGATACATGGTCTGTTTGGGTAGTCTCTTTTGGATTCCCCCTGATTTGTATTCATTTTCTCATAGTCATAAGCATGTGACATACAGATTTGAGGGTACACTAATCCCCCTGACACTCAAACTCTTCCACCCTCTCTTTAACTCTTTTTCCTTTTCTGACGTGGTCTCACCCTCACTTTCTTTTCACTTTCTTCTTGATCATTACCTTACCTCATTGATCCATGCTGGACCCTACACAGTGGGCCATTATAAGGGCCATTACCCTTTGGACACTGACTGAAGTCTCATACTAAGACTATACACACTCTAAGACCCATGAGAGGATCTGATGGACCTAACTGATGCTAAATACATGTTACCTTCACATATTCCATTCTCCAGGACTCAATTTCATCTCCTTCTTATGTGGAGATTTTCTCTATGAAACTATAACATATAACATAACAGAACTAAGTTACATCTCTTCTTCTTTATTTGTCTATGCAGGCTGTATGTAACAGTCCAATGTTAACAGATTATTGTTCTACATGATTTGACTTCTACTTCTTCCTTGTGCTGTCTAAATTTTGTCCTGAATAACACTTTATTCTGTAAAAAGAAAATCAAATTCTAGCAGCCAATGACTTCTAACGACAAGGCAAAAAAAAAAAAAAAAAAACAATTTACAAGTAAAACTGTAACTTCTAACTAACATTAGTTATTAGAATACTTATGTCCAGTCTGTATCTGTGGAATGTGTTTCATGTAGCCCACAACATAAATATGAATACTGTGGAGGACCCAGTGCAGAAGTCAGGGAAATATACAGTTTTTTTGCAGATTTTCACAGACCTCCATTATTATTCTATATATGCTATATGATGAGCGGTGCATTAGCTGGAAATATGCTATATACTGAATTGACCCAGTCCAGCATCCACTACTCCATCCAATACCTCTGACAGAGCAGCTACCCCCTCCTCTTCTGACTCTTTATCAATAGAAGTGAAGCTAGAACAAGTCTTCCTGTAATGTCTTCCTTTGCACAGGACTCAGAAATTGGGGGCAATATTGATTGAAGTGTGGCAGACCTGCTGATTATCACTCCAACACATTTTATCAGTAGTTTTACAGCCTCTGAGCTGCAATAAAATAGAAAGCCTATTGTTCCAATTGCTTCAATCAAACTGCAGAGCCGGCTCTGGTGTGCATTACAAAATGATCTGTATGGGTATGTCCACATAGTCACTCAGAAATTACAAACGTTATTTAAAAGCCAAACACAACCCATGGAAAATCACTTAGCCTCATATCTACATGTAACGTCTTATGTACTGTATATACAAACCACCGTGTTGCAGCATTTAAGGCACATAAAACTACCAAGGTCTATTTTTGTGTGGCTCATGTAAATGGAAAAAAAAAAGAGTGACCCTTTGTAACCAGCACATGTTGTTGACTATGCAAGTAGCAGGTACAAATCGTTTGACCGTGACTTTTGCACCAGTTTTTCATGGAATACCTTGCAGAGCAAAACTGCAAACCGCCTTCTTACAATCAAATTTGCTGCAATCAGTAGAGACTCTGCAATTAATGTCATGACTATTTTATTTGAACTCCCTAGTGATAATGGTGAATGTACAGAAACATTGCATTATATATTTGTAACACCCAAGTAATATATTTTCTAAGTAATACGTTTTAATAATGTCTTTATGGAAATATTGAGCTGTAAATAATATATACATTTTTTTTTCATAAAACTGAAGTGGAATTTTCTTTAGAAAAAAAAAATCATACAGGCAAGATTTTAAGGCTCCATGCACACTGCGCATTTGATTACGCTGGTAACATTAGGTGCGTAAAGTCACATTAAAGTCACATGTGTTTTTCAGCTTTTTTTAGTGTTTTTGCATCAGCATTTAATGGTGTTTTGCCGCAATTAGCTGCGTTTTTCCGCGTTTGTGTTTTTTAACCAACAAAAATTTTTTGGGGTAAAAAAAAAGTCCAAAAATGCTGGTTTGTGGCTGTTCACCACATTTTTCAGCATTAGAGCATTTTTACAGCTTAAAAACTCCTCTAGAAACCCGTTAGTTCTGTTTTTTTTTCCAGCCAAAAAACATTGATTACAGTCTATGTGTGTATGGACACATAGGATAACATGCTGGGGGGTTTACTGGCTGTAGAAAAAAACGTCAAAAGCCAAAAACAGCCGCTGTAAAAACATCAAGTGTGCATGAGGGCTTAAGCAGAAGAGAAATAGGGGAAGATTTACTAAGGCCAGCCATACATGGGTCAAAATTCAACCGATTTTTCATCAGAAAATCGGACCTAAGAATAATCGGCCAATTCTCGCTCTTTTAGTCGGTCAATGGCACTGGCCGATTTTCGTGGTTCCTCCCCTTTTTTCGATGATCAGGCATGTTGGAAAATTAGTGAAAAACGACAGATTTTCGACTCAATGATGGTCAAATCGTATGATCGTTATTCCGAAAAGAATATGTGCATGAGCCGTGACCTGGAAGGAACAGAAGTATTGCCTGTTATATGGGTGAACTTTAGCACTTGGTCGGCTGATTTTCTAAATCATTGATGGCACCATCGGATTACCGAGCAAACAAAGTTTTCGATTTTTGGACGAAAAATCGGTATTCAAACCATGTATGGCCTGCATAAAACTGGAACACTCAAAATCTGGTGCAGCTGTGGATGGTAGCCAATCAGCTTCTAACTCCAGCTTGTTCAATGAAGCTTTGGCAATAAAACCTGGAAGCTGATTGGTTTCTATGCAGAGCTGCACCAGATTTTGCACTGTGCAGTTTTAGGTAAATAATCCCATACTACGTCTCTCCTGCATTAAATTTTCATTACCTGCCTGTATGCCCTGTACACAGAGCTGTACACACATCGTACAAATGTTGGCAATGCCAAAGTGAATGAACTCCATTTGTGCATGGGAGTGAAATCATCTCAGTGAAAAAGGTAGATGATAGGTACCTGGAAACAGATTAGGCAGAAGACAACAGTGGCCGGAGGAGGAAAGATACAGGAGACCGCAGTGCTGGATAGAAGCGGAATATAATCCACTTTATGTGTCTAGGTAGAGATGACAACTTTTAAATCCCATTTGTTGGAAATGTACTGAATATGCGGGTTTCAGAGTCAAATCTTTTAATCATGACTTTTGCACCAGTTTTTCTGGGAATCCCTTGCATAGCAAGAAAGTTATTAAAGCAAGTATGCATATATAGTACTTTCAATGCATTCTGTATATAAACAGGGGCAATACAAAAGGGTGCTTCTCACTGCATGAAGGCCAGTACAGAGCCAAAATTTGAATGGATTTGAGGGCTCATTCACACTGATTGGTTTGTCAAATATTTTTAGTTTGCTAGGACGTAAATAAATACTTTGGTTTTTGCTGGGCCTGCATCGCATTGCTGTGGATAGCAAAGAAAGTGCTGCATTCTGAATTGTGGGGATAATGACCAGGTTTTGCCATTTAAATAAAAGCAAGTGAAGTCTTTAAAAATGCAAACATTTAAACATTCTTTTAGTGTGAATGGGTACAAGGGCACCATTCCACAGTGCGAATCCCAGTGGCAGGAATCTACTAATTCCTGCTGCTGGGATTGACAGATGTATGCAGATAGCAGCAGCCACTGGGCCCATACACTGTAATGACAGGCTGTTGGTGGGCACAGCTATTCATGCCTGTTTGCAAAGCCAGCGATCACAGCTGCATGCACACAAAATATCTCTAGCCACAGCCACGATGGGTTGCTGGCTTTGAAATCAGGCAGGAATATGTGCAGCCGTCAACAGCCTGTCATTGCAGTGTACAGGCTTGGTGTCCACTGCTATCCACACATAGCTGTTAATCCAAGTCAATCAGCAGATTCCTACCACTGGGATTTGCAGTGTGAAAAATGCCCATGTGCAGGGGCGGACTGACCATTTGGAAACTCGGGCACTGCCTGAGGGCCCGGAGTCAGTAGGGGGCCCCATGAGATGCCCCTGGTACCTTTTTCATAGGCTTTTTTGAGTTTTGGCAAGGACACAGGGGCCCCATGATCCCCTATTGCCCGGGGGTCCCATGAGTTGTCAGTCCGCTCCTGCCCATGTGAATGGTGCCTAAACCATGAGAAGCAGTGCCCCAGTGATAAAAGAAAATGTCAGAAATATCAAAACTTCTCAAAAGCAAGAGTCATTTCATCTAACTGAATGAACTGTTGCCTTGGAAGAAGTCTGTACAGCAGCATTAGCATTCAGATTACACTTTCATATACAACTGTCCAGGAAAACTGGTTGGTTGACAGTATGTAGGATTATATAGGATGAAGGAACAAGAGCAAGGACAGCTCTGCTGAAAGGGTGCTGAATACATAACATCTCCTCCCAGCAGAGGTAGTAAAGGCTAACACACCAAGAGAATACAAAACTAATCTGCTCACTAAGGAACTCTTTGTTAAAGAAATGGGCTAATCTGGCCTTAATTCTTACCATGCATTTGCGATCATCTACTCCAGACAAATCCTCTTCAAACTCCTTTCCCACATCAAACTCCATGATGTAGTTCCTAAAAGTGCTCAGTGTCTTAATCACCATGTGCTCCCCATTCTGAATAATATCTTTGTCCGGCTTCAATAGAGTGGCGATCTTCCTCAGAGCGACATTGACGTCTGTATAGGGAGGAGAAGAGGCATTTTATTGTCTTTCAAGGGAAACCCTCATACCTGAGCAGCCTGCAACCAGTAATGGCCTAGCTCCTCAATTAAGGGCCTTCATCCTGCTTAAAGGAAGAATAGCAGCGTGTGTGTGTGTGTGTGTGTGTGTGTGTGTGTGTGTACATTCAGGATCAACATTCCAATGTAATCACTGCACTTAATTCAATGTGTGGGGACTTAACAGTGAAAGGAAAGAGGCTTTGGCTCTTATAGTATTATTCAGATTTACTTAATATGCATTATGTCACTGATATATAATTGGGAGGTCAAAATAAATCACAATAAACCAATCAATATGGTGCACAATGTCAAATCAATTCAATACTTAAAAAAAATATTGTTTTATGTTTAAACAAATTTCTATGTGATTCAAAACCTGGACAGCTTGGATCGCATGGAATGTGACAACCAGGGGCATTATGGGGGTTTCAAAGCATGAAGAAGAGAGGCTTTATAGGCAAGCAATGTCTGGTAGCACTTCAAATCGAAGGATGAACATACACTCTAGGACCACTTTATTAGGTACACCTGTTCAATTGCTTAGTAACACAAATTGCTAATCAGCCAATCACATGACAGCAACTCAATGCATTTAGGCATCTAGATGTGGTGAAGATGACTTGTTGAAATTCGAACCGAGCATCAGAATGGGAAGAAAGGGGATTTAACTGACTTTGAACATGGCATGGTTGTTGGTGCCAGAAGGGCTGGTCTGAGTATTTCAAAAACTGCTGATCTACTGGGATTTTCACACGCAACCATCTCTAGGACTTACAGAGAATGGTCCAAAAAAGAGAAAATATCCAGTAAGCGGCAGATGCGTGGATGAAAATTCAGACTGGTTCAAGATGATAGAAAGGCAACAGTAACTCAAATAACCACTCATTACAACCAAGGCATGCAGAACACCATCTCTGAACGCACAACACATTGAACTTTGAAGCAGATGGCCTACAGCAGTAGAAGACCATACCGGGTGCCACTCCTGTCAGCTAAGAACAGGAAATGGAGGCTACAGTTGCACACATTCACCAAAATTAGGCAATAGAAGATTGGAAAAACGTTGCCTGGTCTCATGAGTCTTCATTTCAGCTGCGTAAACAACATGGAAGCGTGGATCCATCCTGCCTTGTATCAACGGTTCAGGCTGATGGTGGTGGTGTACTGGTGTGGGGGATATTTTCTTGGTACACTTTGGGCCCTTAGTACCAATTGAGCATCGTTTAAATGCCACGGCCTGCCTAATGACCATGTCCATCAATTGATGACTACAGTGTACTCATCTTCTGATGGCTACTTCCAGCAGGATAATTGCACCATGTCATAAAGCGTGGATCCATCCTGCCTTGTATCAGGGGTTCAGGCTGATGGTGGTGGTGTAATGGTGTGGGAGATATTTTCTTGGCACACTTTGGGCCCCTAGTACCAATTGAGCATCATTTAAATGCCACAGCCTGCCCAATGACCATGTCCATCAATTGATGACTACAGTGTACTCATCTGCTGATGGCTACTTCCAGCAGGATAATGCACCATGTCACAAAGCTCAAATTGTCTCAAACAGGTTTTTTTAAACATGACAATGAGTTCATTGTACTCTAATGGCCTCCACAGTCACCAGATCTCAAATCCAATGGAGCAACTTTGGGATGTGGTGGAACGGGAGATTCACACAATGGATGTGCAGCCGACAAATCTGCAGCAACTGCGTGATGCTATCATGTCAATATGGACCAAAATCTCTGAGGAATGTTTCCAACACCTTGTTGAATCTATGCCATGAAGGATTAAGGCAGTTCTAAAGGCAAAAGGGGGTCCAACCCGGCACTAGCAAGATGTACCTAATAAAGTGGCCGATGAGTGTATAGCTATCTGCATATAAAAACAAGGTTTCTGAGAATATTTACATTAGGAATATTGAATAATATATATATATATATATATATAAATAAACACAAAATGTGTTTTGTAATTGCAAAGCTCTCCTTCATGAATGCTAGTTTATATTGACTTCAGTATTTTGTCCTGACTTTCCTTTCTTGTCCCAGAAATGAATGAAGCCAGAGACAGCCAGGCAAGTAGTATTCCTAGAAGAAGGTCTGCAATAACCGCAGCCTATTTATTCTTTTTTATGTAAGAATGCTGGATGAGAAAAGTGTTCCCTCATGTACAAGAGGTGTGTAAATAATGAAGTAGTTACTACTTTGATGGCAAGATGTGCTCCAGCAAGATCTGTAGCCGAATTCCCTGGAGAGATGTATAGTATATAACCATGGCTCATACAATGTGGAAAAGCAAAAACTTCACTGACACTGAACAGACAGGATTAAAGTTTAACATGTTCAGAATACATAGTAAGTGCACAAAGGACAAAGCAGATGAACTGATAGCATAATATATGCACTACTCCATGTCCATCTATGTGTAAACCTTTCACTGCAAAACAACATCAGTTATCTTGGAATTTTTCACATTGAAAATATGCTTACAGTTTAAAATCAGTCCATACAACAAACATCCCCCTTCCCAAGGCCTTACTAAGCTATTTTTAAAGACTTAAAAAAACTGTGCTCATGGCAAACAGATTCTTTTTTTGTTTTTTCCAAAAATAAAAGATTAAATCTAATTGGTTTACCACATGTCTCATTAAAAAAAGAAAACACTATGCTCAAGATTTCTTTATATATAGCTTCCTAATCCTAGTCAATCAGATTCCTTTTCTTAAATTATTAATGCGTCTGTTTTTTTCTTTCAATTTGTTTAATAAGAAAAAAATCCCAGGGCAAAAATGGTGCTGTTAATATTCTGTTTAATTGCTTTTTAATCCAATTTTGAAATGATGAACAGACTGAAATCTTAAGAGGTAAATCATGTCTTTGATATTACATGAATTGAGGAGCAGTGACTCTGAAACTGCACTTTGTAAATGTACCTCAATGCACAGGCATTGTTGTGTTGGGCAGAAAAACAAAATATATACATTAAAAAGATTCCTGCCCAATTATCTGTGTGTTCTTACACAGCCCTTTAAAAATGAATGTTCGGCCTGAAAGCACCCTAATCAGTATGGTGTTTAGACATGTGCACGCCGGAAACATTCATTTTGTTTCGGATGCATTTGTTCACTGAAGAATTTTGCTTTGTCATATTCATTTCGTATCTTTGGCATTTGTTTCTTATATTTGTTGGTCCAGATGGATTTGAAAAATTTTGCAGTTTTTCCAGAAGATTGCTATATATTTGATACGTGATCAAATCAGACAAATTTAAAATTGGAAGGATTCGATATTTTCGGATGCTAGCCCAACCCACCAAGAAAAATGGCATGAGCTGGATAATATCGACTGGCGTCATGTGCATTCGAAATAACGACAGGAATGAAATTCGGATCAATTTGTTATCTGAATTAGAAAATGAATTTGAAAATTGAACTTATTTCCCCATGGGCCTGAACTACTATCACATCATGAGATGTCACCCGAATGAAAAAGAATGAAACAAATGCATTCTTTTTCAATTTAGCCATTCAAAAATGGTTCAAAAAGAACTCCAAATGGGCATATTTTGTTTAGAATGAATTGACATGTCGATGTGTTGATCAATACTTAATTCATTTGAACATAATTCAGCTCTCTCCTGGTATAGACAGTATATACGATAATGCATTTCTAATGAATTTCTGTTTCTTTCAGTGTATGAAGAGACAAATGTATGAACATTAGGTATAGTTTTATTGTTTTGATTGTATGAGCATGTTTCATTCTATTGTAATCGGAGGTATAGCTGTACCATTGGATGGTCCTAGACAGCTTTGTTGTGTACTGAGCCACATGTATGCAATTATGCCATCAGTTATTTTTTCAACAAAAAAAAAAAAGTTTACATCTATCCCCCTAGATTGTAAGCTCCAAGGAGCAGGGTCCTCCTAACCCTCCTGTATTGAACTGTAGTGTTACTGTATTGTCTCCCGTTATATTGTAAAGCGCTGAGCAAACTGTTGGCTCTGTATAAATCCTGTATAATAATAATAATAAAATGATCTTTTGTTGTTTATTTTTTCAGCATGTGATTGCACAGCTATATATTTTTTTTACTGCATGTAGATGTTTATGGACTTTGGTTGTAAGGTTATGGATTTTGGGTTGGTACAAACAAAGACAACTCTCCTGTGCATACACGCCACATACCAATGAAGATCACAAGTTTCATAAAGCTGTCTGTGCTATATTGATTACTTAAAATATGTGGCGGCCTGGAATACTGCGACTGTCACCACTGTCGGGGCATAAAGAGACATTATACTGATATATTGATATGAAGCATACAAGAGGTTGTGAAGCAGTGATGTCATTACACAGCTGCTAAGTGCCTTTGTTTGATAGACCCCTTTGCACACGTGCTATGTTTCCCTAAATTTCCCAGGGTCACACGTTTATTGGACAGGATCTCAGCATTGTTATCTTTTTACAGATTGTTATTGAACAAATTAGAACCATTTGAACTACAGAGAAATAAAACATTGTAAAAGTGACATCTAACAGACACAAAAAGGCTGGGTATTGCTCATTTAAGAGAAAGCTGGTACATCTCCAGGGGCCAGAATGGCATGGCTGAACTGTCCTGTAAAGTAAGGGACAATTAATTACCATGCAAGTATTAATAAAGCTCTCCATCTTTTCCCCAGAAACCACCCATTCATCACTACACCTTAGCTGACAATGAGGTTTCTGAATGTTGCAAATATTTGGAATAAATGTCATAGACAGGAATGGGGTGGGTCACTCAGCTCCATGCATTTATTAAAAAAAAAAACGCTAGTTAAAAAACACTGGTAATAGCATGTTTTAGTAGCGTTTTAGTAGAGTTTAGGAGCCTTAGCATTTTATTAGTGTTTTTACAGCACATGTAAAAAAAAAAAAGCTATAGAAAAGCTGTTAGGAGTGTTTTAGTAGCGTTTAGCTTTTTTCTGCTGGAGAAAAGCTCCAAAAAGTCTACAAAAACATTTTTTTTTCTGTTCCTAGGCGCTGAAGCTTGAAATTGCTAATTGCCTAAGTAGTGTGTATAGACACATAGGATAACACTATTTACAGTCTAGGAGCAGAAAAAAACGCTAATAACAGCTTCTAGGACCTTAAAAAAAAACGCTAGTGTGCATAGAGCTAGGAATGTCGAACGAAGAAGATAATCAGATGCCTTTCTTGCATGGCACACTTATCACATTTTTTCATCTATAAGTTATTTTAGTCATATCTACAGGTGCCCATAGACATCAAGCACAGTGGCTAAATGGTTAGCACTTCCACCTGGCAGTACTAGGGTCATTGGTTTGAATCCCAGCCACAGTACCTCCTGTCTGGAGTTTGCATGTTCTCCCTGTGCCTGCGTGGGTTTCCTCCACGTACTCCTGTTTCCTCCTATACTCCAAAGACATGCTGGTAGGTTAATTGGCTCCTGTCTAAATTAGCCCTTGTATAGGTGTAATGTAAGTTAGGGACCTTAGATTGTAAGCTCCTTGAGGGTTAGGGACTGATGTGAATGTACAATATATATATATATGTAAAGCACTGAATAAATTGACAGCTCTATATAAGTACCTGAAATAAATAAACATGCAAGTACAATCTGTTTGCTGACAGACCTTCTTGTATGGCAGACTTATCACTTAATTACATCCATGATTATTTATTTATTTCAGGTACTTCTATAGCGCCATCAATTTACGCAGCACTTTATTGTACATTCACATCAGTCCCTAACCCTCAAGGGGTGTACAGTCTAAGGTCCCTAACTTACATTACACCTACTTCATTACATACACATACTAGGGCCAATTTAGACAGGAGGCAATTATCCTACTAGCATGTCTTTGGAGTGTGAGAGGAAACCGGAGTACCCGGAGGAACCCCATGCAGGCATAGGGAGAACATGCAATCTCCAGGCAGGTGGTGCTGTGGTTGGGATTATTGTTATTTTAGTCCTATGTCCAGGTGCCCATAGACATCCGATGGCAATCCAACACGCATGTGCAGTCTGACTGTTGACAGATGTTTACATAAATAGGCAATCTCAGATCGCTGGAAATGCATTTCTATGCCAGTGGAAGAAAAGGGGGGTAACACAAGGCCTCAAAATTAGCTTGTCCTAGGGAAAACAATAGCGATCTGCCAGGGAAATCTAATCAGATTGTTTGCTCATTCCAGCAATGGCTTTGCCTAGGGAATGTGTGTCTCAAGTCCTAGAAGAGTAACCATAGACAAATAAACATTCTGAGATTATTATTATACAGGATTTATATAGCGCCAACAGTTTGCTCAGCGCTTTACAATTTAACGGGAGGTAGTACAGCAACAATACAGTTCAATACAGGAGGGTTAGGAGGGCCCTGCTCCTTGGAGCTTACAATCTAAGATCTGCCTACTATCAAGTGGATTGGGTGGCATATCTGCAGGAGCCTAAAGGTACCCATAATAAATGCCTGGCCTGTAATCACTGCATGTTTAGTGGACAGTCAATGTGCGGGGCAGGAAAACAACAACAAAAACTTCAGTGTATCAGTGTATACAATGTATCACCTTTGTCCACTGCACAAAAGACTGATGAGCTACGTTTTAATAACAGAAGAAAACAGGTTTATAAGTACTGATGCTGTTCTAGACCATGCATACATATACTGTAGGTATGTATACACAATGCATGCTCAGAACACACATATAAACTCATACAATGCAAGTATGTATACTTCGAAAAACCCAGTATGTGTATTAATGTTCTTTAGATGCTCAGCTTGTATTCTCATACGCAGCAGCTGTGACAATATTTCTAAATTCATACAAATGAAAAGATCTCATAGCTTTCCTGACAATGGAGGTTCATACAGCTGTTGATTTTTCTGCGGTAAGGCAGGCCAAAGAAAAAAAAAAAGCACACAAAGTGCTGAGTGAAGCAGCAACATGAGACCGGTGAGGGGAATGGCAGAGGCAATTTCTGATTAACAAAAGATAAACTCTGACTGTGTATACTAAATAAATAAGTATTTCAAAAATCTATAGTGAAACACAAAATATCGAACTAGATGCAAAAAATTACATAAAATATAAGTGAATATAAATAGATACTAATAAATATACATAACATTAATGAAAATATCAATCTCCTAGATTGTAAACTCCAAGGAGCAGGGCCCTCTTAACCCTCTTGTATTGAACTGTATTGTTGCTGTATTGTCTCCGCTATATTGTAAAGCGCTGAGCAAACTGTTGGCACTATATAAATCCTGAATAATAATATCATAAAATCCCTTGCTGCCACTAGGTGACATAACAAATGCAAACAAAAAACACAGTGATAGTAAGAAAAGTGGCGCCACTTTTCTTACTATCACTGTGTTTATTTGTTTGCATCTGACTGTGTATACTCCATTCATCAAATAGGAGAATATCTTGTGAAATGGTTAACGAGGCTGTGTGCTGATCCACAGAAAGTCTAGCAAAACCCCAAAGTGCATTCCAGAAAGTGGAAAATCTGCCACCTGACGTCAATCCAGACTTACCCAGGGCCTTCAGATACTCCTCGAAATTCTCATTGCTCATCATCTTCCAGTACCCGTTGAAGTCAGTTGGCATGATTGCAGGCTTGGCGTCCACAAGTGAACTCCTTGTTGCTGAGGCTGGAGGAGTGTGTGCTCTGGCTGTGACTGAGAGCTGTGCTATGCAAGGTCTTTACCCAGACCCTGCTGTTAAAGAGAGCCCCTCCTAAATCTACCACAATGCAAAAAGTTACCTCCCTCCCACTGGCCATCTCTGACTGTGCACAGCTGCTTGTTCTTCGCTCACATTGTTACTCTCAAGCTGGCGCGTCAAATAAAAGTGAAACTCAGATCCAAAACCAGTATCTTAATTCCGGGATCACATTACTACTGTTGACGGGCTAACTGAAAAATGCGTGGCTTTAGTGATTGTATATATATATATTTATTTATTTCAGGTACTTATATACTGCATCAGTTTGCGCAGCACTTTATATATATATTGTACATTCACTTCAGTCCCTAACCCTCAAGGGGCATACAATCTAAGATCCCTAACTCACATTCATATACAAGGGCCAATTTAGACAGTATCCAATTAACCTACCAGCATGTCTTTGGAGTGTGGGAGGAAACTGGAGGAAACCCACGCAGGCACAGAGAGAACATGCAAACTCCAGGCAGGAGGTGCCATGGCTGGGAGTCGAACCAACGACCCTAGTACTGCCAGGTAAAAGTGCTAACCATTTAGCCACTGTGCTGCCCTTATATATCTGTAAAAGCTATATATCTAAAGCTGTAGAAGTATAAACCCAGCACATCTGCTATGACCCTACCTGTCCCATTCCCAGCAGCATACGCTCCCACCACTCTATTTAGCCCAAGGAAATACCCGGTACTTACATGTATGGAGGAGCATGTGACTTGTTCACATGACACCACTGGACCCATCTATGCTGTCACAGATAGAGGATCCATATTCCTGTGAGCTATTACAGGTCTTTGCACTCACTCTTAATGGGTATAAAAAAAACAAAGGTAAAGGTATGGTAAGTATAAGCATCTGCATAGGTTTACATTACAGTGAACCTGTTGGTTTACCCTTAACATACATGCAGCTTAAAGCGGAGTTCCAGCTGAAAAAAAAAAAAAAAGTCAGCAGCTACAAAAACTGTATCTGCTGATTTTTAAAATACAGATACTTACCTGTCCCTCGGTTCAGCGGTGTCCTCACCACGGCTGGTTTCACTGGTCATCTTCTCTCCCTGGCACCGGCATCTTCAGTGTGGGCACCTGGCTGTGACATCTTGCGGCTTCACAGCCGGGCGCCCACTGCACATGCGTGAGAAGCGCTGCGCTTTGTGAATGGACCCGTAGTCTCCTGAGACCTGTCGTGTCCCAGAAGACTATGGGGAGGGAGGGGACAACTTCTGCTTCCTATCACCTAGGTGATTGCAGCGGAAGTGGGAGCAGGTACCTGTCAAATTCAGGTACCCGCTCCCCCTCTTCCCAAAGGTGCTAATCCTTAATGGGGAGTGGGGGAAAAAGCATTAAAACGGAATTTCCCCTTTTGGGTGAAGCTCCGCTTTAAATGGATATGTTCACCTTCACAAAAATGCACATTTTCAGGTAAAAATTGCATGTGCAATCCCAGGCTCCTGCACAGAGACTGCTGAGAGCTCTCTGCTGGTTTCTTCATACAGCCAGATGGTAAATCCTGGTACATATGATGAGAATATTGGTTGAATGATCGTTCGATTTCTTTTTTTGCATGCTAGTCTCTTATGAATAGGTTACTAAAGTAATACAACAGAATAAAGACAGAATACAACTTCGGAAGTGATATAATGTATTGTATTACATAGTTACATAGTTAGTCTGGCTGAAAAAAGACAAAAAAGTCCATCCAGTTCAACCATTAAAGAAAATAAAAAAAGTTCTAATCCTACACCCACAGTTGATCCAGTGGAAGGCATAAAAACCCCAGAAAAAAAATGCAATTTGCTCCTGCAGGGGAAAAAAATCCTTCCTGATCCCCCGAGAGGCAATCGGATATTCCCTGGATCAACTTTACCTATAAATGTTAGTATCCAGTTATATTCTGTGTATCCAAGAAAGAATCCAGGACTTTTTTTAAAGAAATCCACTGAACTGGCCAGAACCAGCTCTTGAGGGAGTCTATTCCACATTTTCACAGCTCTTACTGTGAAGAAAACTTTCTGTATTTACTCAAATTTATTTTCCTCCAGATGTAAAGAGTGCCCCCTTGTCCTCTGTGATGACCTCGAGGTGAACAGATCTACAACGAGTTCACTATATGAACCACTGATGTATTTATACATGTTGATCATATCCCCCATTAATCTCCTCTTCTCAAGAGAGAATAAATTCAGTTCTCTAATCTTTCCTCATAGCTGAGCTCCTCCATGCCTCTTATCAGTTTGGTTGCCCTTCTCTGTACTTTCTCCAGTTCCCCAATGTTCTTTTTGTGAATTGGTGCCCAAAACTGAATTGCATATTCCAGATGAGGTCTTACTAACGATTTGTACAGGGGTAATATGATATATCTCTCTCTGGAGTCTATACTCTTTTAATACAAGAGAGGATTTTGCTCACTTTAGAAACCGCAGCTTTGCATTGCATGCCATTATTAAGCTTGTGATCTACCAGAACTCCCAGATCCTTCTCCACCATTGATTCCCCCAGTTGTACCCCCCCTAGTATGTATGATGCATGTATATTCTTAGCCCCCAAGTGCATAACCTTACATTTATCAACATTAAACCTCATTTTCCACATAGTTGCCCAATTAAACAGTGCATTGAGGTCAGCTTGTAAATTGGAGACATCCTGTAAGGACGTTATTCCACTGCACAGCTTGGTGTCATCTGCAAACACTGAAATGGTATTTTTAATCCCAGACCCTGTATTGCTTATATATGGTATTGTAATGTATTACTTTGTTTCCAAGCATGCGTGGTCTTCGTCATTCGATTTATTTTTTTTTACAAATATTATACTAATTACACAAAATGTTGCGTTATCTTACTAGAAACATTTTCATGCTTGTCCTTTTGGATATTTTGGCATGAACTGTGGTGATCAGCTCTCGAAATCTGTGTACTAAGGAATAGATTATCGCACGAATGCTCCAAATGCATTTTTTTCATCTGATTTTCTCATTGTGTGTACAGGGGTGGACTGACAACTCATAGAGCCCCTGGGCAACAGGGGATCATGGGGCCCCTGTGTCCTTGCCCACAATCAAACCACACCCAAAAAGCCTATGAAAAGGTACCAGGGGCATCTCATGGGGCCCCCTACTGACCTTGGGCCCTCGGGCAGTGCCCGAGTTCCCAAATGGTCAGTCCGCCCCTGAGTGTGTACCAGGCTTTACTCATCTGCAGGAAGTGTCAGTGAACTAAGAGGTGGCAGATCAGAGCCATGGTAGTACATTGAGAACTACAAGACATCTACTAAGGTGGCAGATAATACCTGTAGTTCAGTCTTTTAGATTCCTGTGAATAAATGATGCCGCTGTGTGGGTGGAACCTCGCACAGTCACGCTGTTTTTGAATTGTGACAGCAAGGAAAGGGAACACGGGACTGGTCCACAGTAAAATGTTACACCATAAATACGGGTATAACATGTTGCTAATGGTGAAATGATCCTGTAAAGGCAAATTAGTAATGGAAATTCACATATTTCTGTCCTAACATATTCTGTTATTGAGTATATATTGATATCGTAAGGCTGCTTATAAACAACTCACAGGGTTAAAACAGGCTCAAAGCAACTGTGAGTTTATTACCATTTCGTTCAGCCAAATCCCAGCAATCCGGTAAAAGTAATCTGGGTGGTTGTGGAATTGCTGTGACCTACCTCAGCAGCATAGGTTGTAGGTACTGCTCTTTTTGCACCCCACTTTTGATGAGCACCCAAGGTGGCCACCTCCTCTCCTACCCCTCAGCCTAGCCCAAACTACAGCAATGAAAACCTTAGGTAATGAGCAGTTCAAGGTTCAATGTTAAGCTGGAATGTAGCTTTAATTACTTATTAAACAACCCTTATTCATATGAAATTCTTAATCTGGCCAAAGGCCTTGGAATAAGAGGATTGAGGACAGTATACGCGCTAACGTATTACTACACCACACTTTTCTATGGTTTTAAGCAGAAAATGTGTGCCGTTTGCTGAATGGTGGTAATACAGGATGGAGCAAACACAATTGATGCTATGACAAGTCACAGTAGATTTTTCTAAAGACTCTTTTACATGTGGGTTGTGCTTGGGACTATCGTTTTAAAACACCATAGCTCTCAGCTGTCCCTCATTTGGAGGGACTGTCCCTCATTTGGAGCTAAATCCCTCTGTCCTTTCCTCCTCAGTTGTCCGTCTTTTTATAAATTGGCATACAAAATATTAACTTAAAGTTGGATGAAAGGTTTAGTGTAGAAGGAAACTTTTTAAGACTTCGGACACACCGAATCCGACTTTGAAATTGTGCAGATGTCCGTGTGACTTCAGGTGCGACTTGGACATCTATGTGACTTCATTAGAAACTACCCATCCACTTGGCTGTCTTTTGAAGAATATCCTGGAGCAAGAGATTCTAGTACACGCTTGCAGCACTGTCCCAGGGAGGACTGATTGTGTATAGCACTTAGCAGCCCTTTCTCCTATAAGCCCCAGGGGTGCAGAGGTACTCACACTGTCCTTGTGTCTGTAGCTTTGGAATAACTGCTTTCAGGCTTTTGCTGGGCTGGTTTCCTTCCAGGCTAACAGGCTGCCCTTCCTCAGTGGACTGTGGAGATCATTTTGTCCTGGCCTCCACCCACTGGCTTCTAGAAACTTCTCCAAGCTTCTAGAACCAGGGGGAGGTACCAGAGGACTTACCTGTAGAGCCCTCCAGCCCGCACTGAAGTTAACCCTCTGACTCACACCCAGGCTTCTAGCAAACCTCTAACTACACTTACAAACTATGCACAAGAGGGTGCTACACACATACTCAGAATGCATGGTCAACAAACAACAAGACAATGTGCACAAAATAAAATAAATGTGTCTGGAAGCCAAATATTGAAGCACACTAAGGT